CTGTTAGCAAACACATATTCCAAGTATTTATGGATAAAGAGACATCTGTCTGCAAATTGCTTTCAAGTAGTTCATGGGAAATACGTAGATGTATGGGGCATGAAGTGGCTGAAATGATAAAGCAAATGATGCACAATGTACACGGTTGGTGAATCTGGGTAGAAGGTAAAAGGAGTTCTTTGTACTATTATAACTTTCCTCTAAGTGTGAAATTATATCAAGGCAAGAAAGGTAAACTATTTAAAAGGAAACAAGAAAACACTTAGAATAATATAGTGATTATGAAATGTTTAGTATTACAGAAATGTTGTGCCTTCTTGTAACAGGTCTTTTCTCATCCCCTATGACTCCATTTGAATATAACCCACATAGTCTATTTTGATCACCCAAATCTAAAGGAGGACCTCCTTCATGCCCAATCTTCTTTCACTGCATTTATTACATCTTTTTTTCTTTTTAAATGCCTTTTTCTCCGTCAAGTCTGAACTCCATCAGGGCAAAGATCATGTCTATTTTGTTCACAGAATACCCAGTCCTGGCACATAAGCTCAATAAGTGTTTGTTGGATTTGGATGAATGGATTAGTCAGTCACCAGTATTCCTTCCATGTTAGTTACCTTTTACTTGCCTAATCCTTCAGAAAAAAAGATGACTCCTTTTAACCAATCTATTTAATCCTTCACTCATCAAGCCTTTATTGAGTACAGTCATGTGATTCCTGCTTATCTGGCTAGCTTCCTCTCTTGCCAGCTTCTCTCAGATCTGCATGCCCTTTCTTGTGATGCACCCTCTGGCTACTCTTTTTTTAAAAAAATATATTCCATTGACCTTCTACAGAGAGGAAGGGAGAGGGACAGAGAGCTAGAAACATCGATGAGAGAGAAACATCGATCAGCTGCCTCCCGCACACCCCCCACTGGGGACGTGCCCGCAACCAAGGCACATGCCCCCGACCAGAATCGAACCTGGGACCCCTCAGTCCACAGGCCGATGCTCTATCCACCGAGCTAAACCGGTCAGGGCCCCTCTGGCTACTGTTGTCAATACAAGTGCCTTGTATATTTTCCTGTCACTCTCTGTACACTTCTTAGAAAGTATCATGTATATATATCCCTACTTTTCCAGACTGCAGATATCACAACTTCCCCCCATTATTTTTATATTTTTAGTCCCTAGCACATGAATGTACAAATTGTGTTTATTGAATACATTTTATTGAGTGCTTGTATTAGGCATTGTGTTGGGTGTTATATATATATTGTCCTCTTTAATTTATAAGCTAACCCTGTAAGATAGGGACTTCATTCTTCCTGGTAATTGGAGTTCATAGCAGTCCTGGGACTATTGATCATATATACTACTAGAGCCCCGGTGCACGAAACTCGTGCACTGGAAGGGGGGGTGGGGAGGTTCCTCAGCCCAGCCTGTGCCCTCTCATAGTCCAGGACATCCTTGTCCTTACTGCCTGCCTGCTCACTGCTCCTTACCGCTCAGCTCACTGCTCCTGCCACCACCACTGCACTCACCAACCATGAGTCCGGCTTCTGGCTGAGTGGTGCTCCCTCTGTGGGAGTGCACTGACCATCAGGGGGCAGCTCCTGAATTGAGCATCTGCCCCCTGGTGGTCAGTGCGCATCATAGCGACCAGTCGTTCTGCCATTTGGTCGATTTGCATATTAGGCTTTTGTTATATAGGATTATATTTTATCTCTACTAGAGTGCATGATACACAGCAAGCAGTCTGGGAATGAATAAAGTTACAACTCAGTAATAATCAAAGACAGTGTTTAAATACAAAATAAATATTAGCAAACATGTAAAAATATGATATTAAAAAGATGTAGTCAACTGGTTGACCAAATATATTGCCTGAGGAGTATAAATTGGTAAAGGAATCAATCTCCTAATAGCCTTAAAATATTTGGATTTTTTTGATCCAGCAGTTTAACTCCTATGAATCTACTTTATGGGAATAATCATAAGAATAAGAAAAAAAGTATATCTGTAAGATAGTAAGTAATAAGTTATGATGAATTCACAAGTTGGAATGCTATTTGGCCATCAATATTAATATTTATGAAGCATTTGTAATGTGGAAAGATGATTATTAAGTGAAAGACAAGTAATATAAATCAGGATATACTGGTCATGAAACACTCAAACTTTTAGTGGCTTAAATTTATTTTATGTTTTTATTAGAGAGAGAGAGAGAGAGAAACGTTGATTTGTTGTTCTATTTATTTATGTATTCATTCATTGGTTGATTCTTGTATGTGCCCTTGGTGGATCAGGATGCTATTCTAACCAACTGAGCTACCCATCCAGGGTGTTTTAGTGACTTTTAGCAAATAGTTTTGGCAGAGGACCTTGCTTATTGTTACTCACCCAAGGATCCAGCTCTGTTACTTGGGGCTCTGATAATCAACTATATTTGTTACTTTAGTCTGTTGGCTTCCTAGTCACTTTGTTTTATTCATTAAAAGATTTGGTGCTAATCTGTAGTATAACAGTGACATATATTTTAGCTAAGTAGAACTTGAGTATCTGTTCAATTGGACCAATTCATTGGGGTTGCATTGTCAAGTATTTGAATGATAGTGGTGGGCTGATGAATGAAATGGAGCCTATTGTCATAGAGATAATGATGTTGGAAAATCTAGGGATCTTTCTTTGATAACAACCTGAAGAAATTCTGTGGTCGAAGTCAAGCATGTGACTTCTTAACGGTCTTTACAAGGATATAGAATAATCCTTTACTAGTATAGAATTATTCATTTTTATTTAGACATGTTTCAGAACTAGTTCCCAGGAATGAACAGTCCTTGTTTTAAAGAAGCTTGCTATTCAGTTGAGTTGTGAACTATGAATAGAAACATCAAAATATATGCAAGCATAGAAAGAGAGTACATAGCATAGCTAAAGATATTGTGATTAAATCTGTGAAAGAAAGTGTGGGGCTTGAGAGTAGGGCAAAGGGGAAGGAGTAATAATAGCAGGTAGAGAAAGGAGGATTTTAGATAGGGAAAACGAGACTTTTTACAGGAGTTTAAGTGAGTGTTTGGGAATTGTGAGGAGGATGAGGATGGTAGGTTGTGATGGAAAGGAAGCTGCCATATAATGTTTGCTGTCTTAGTAGATGTTTTTGTACTGGTTAAAGGGTTGAGAAGGTACAATTGGTCCTTAATTAATTCTTAGTTTTTAATCTATAAAATGAGGATGGTAATATTATGTGCCTACCACAAGGATTCTTGTGAGGATCAAATGTAAGAACTTTATTTAACAAAACATTTAGAGTAGTTGTCTAGAATATAGTAAATTCTCATACTAGTAAATGGTAGCTGACATAAATAATAATCATAGCTGGTTTAAAGCAGCATAAAACTTTATTAGCCTAGCACAGTGGTCGGCAAACTGCAGCTCGTGAGCCACATGCGGCTCTTTGGCCCTTTGAGTGTGGCTCTTCCACAAAATACCACGTGCGGGCGCGCACGTACAGTGTGATTGAAACTTCGTGGCCCATGCGCAGAAGTCGGTATTTTGTGGAAGAGCCACACTCAGGGGGCCAAAGAGCCGCATGTGGCTGCGAGCCGCAGTTTGCCGACCACTGGCCTAGCATTTAGAATGGTTTTTTGAAGGTAGTGTGGAGGTTGGTGGACTAGGGATAGAGGAGATATGGAGCAGGTTGTAAAAGCTTTTGTAAAATTCCAGAAATCACTGAGGGCCTGATTAAGGCAGTAGCAATAGGAATAGTAATAGATAGTAAATATTTGTGTTAGAATTGACTGGATATAAGTACTTAAGTACTTAACTGATGTTTATATATATAATCTGTGAGAAAGATGAAAGATCTAGGATAGCACTTGAGAGACTGCCTCAATGTAGACCCATCAACAGAAACAGTTGAAAAGTGAGTGGGTTAGGAGGCAGAAAAAAAAAAGAGCTCAGTTTTAGAAATAGTAATAATGAAATGCATATGGGAAAATTGGGTTTGTTGAGTTTGAGAGGAGTTGGGTAAATGATCCAGGTCTAGAGAGAGATTTGGGTTGGGTTCAGGAATCGGCAGTGGTGGTAAACTGCAGCTGTGGGAGCATGTGAGCTGCTATAAAAGGGGGAAGAGGGATGGTTGAGATTTCACCCAAACACTGGAGAGTTAACAGAGGAAGAGGTGCCCCAAAAGGGGTGCTTGGGTTATTTATTGAATTCTTATTATCTGTTAAGCACCATAAATACATTCACTCCCCTCTCCCCCCACTTAATTGTTGTAGTATCCCTATGATGTGCAATACCCTTGCTGAGGAAGAAATTACCCCAATCTTAGCTGTTTAAAACGACACAAATCTTATTTCACAGTTTCTAGGCATGGTTTGACTTACTCCTCTGCTTCAGGGTCTCACAAGGCTGCAGTGACGGTGTTGGCTAGGCTAGGGTCTTGCGTGAGGCTTGACTGAGGAATGATGTGCTTCCAAGCTCTTGGTGGTTGTCTAGATCCAGTTCTCTGCAGGACTGAGGCCTTCAGCTTCTTGCTGGCTTTTGGCCAGAGCCCAACTTCAGGTTCTTGCCACGTGAGCCTCTCCATATGGCAACTCATTTACTTCATCAAAGCCGGCAAGGGAGGGAGTCAGTTGGCATGGTGGAAGGTATAATCTCACATAATCTCAGTAGCAGTCATGTGAAATTTCATCACCTTTGCCAGATTTCATTGATTAGAAACAGATCATAGGCGCTGCCCACACCCCAGGATTGGTTGGGGTAGGGGGCAGGAGACAGGAGATGGTGGTGGTGGTGGTGGTGGTGGTGGTGGTGGTGGTGGTGTCAGGATTTCACTGAAGTGTGGATGGAGGTGGAGGGGCTCTCTAAGGCAGTGGTCGCCAACCTTTCAGACCTCATGGACCACCAGTGGTCCGAGGACCACCGGTTGGCGACCGCTGCTCTAAGGTACCATTTTAATTCCTATATTAAAAAAAAAAAGAAACTGAAATAACTTGTTCAAGATCATGTACAAATAATGGGGCCAGAATCATTCAGGCAGTCTGGCTCCACAATTCCGGGCTCTTTTGCCATTATATTGTAAAGACTGAGAAACGCTGTAGGGTTTAGCAGTTTGGGGAGTTCTTTGGAGACTTTTTGTTTGATATCTTTTAATGGTGTGGTGTGGGTCCAAGTCACATGTGGTTTCAGTGAATGTGCAGGTAGGAAAAAGACTGAGTAGAGATTACTGTTTCAGAAGGTAATTTTAAAAGGAAGAGAATAGTAACCATATATTGTCATCATATACTAATTATTTCTCTCCATAGTAATCCAGAAATTTTTCTTTTTCAGTTCACCAAATTTAACCAGTAATGCCATTCAGTTGCCAATATCAAGCAAAGCAAACATAAGCCAGTTTTAATCTTTTTAAGAAAAGTGGTAGTTCTTTTCACAGTGCCTGACGGTAAGTCACAGTTCCTACCTTTATAATAGATTTTTTAATAGATTTAAGGCATTTAGAACAATGATTTTGGAAGCAACCATTTTAAAACTTCTATTTGCCTTTTCTTTCCTGATAATTTTACTGTAGAGTCCATGTGGAAAGAATATAAAGATACTAGTTTCTGGCAATTTATTGTTATCTTTCATTAATCTTAGGGATTTTTTACCTCCAGTTGTTAAAAAAAAAGAAAAGAAAAAAGCTAGACATTGAAATCTGCCTCTTAATTTCTGGGGTGGGGAATGTCCGGCCTGCGGGCTGCACAAGGCGCACAAGGCGTAAGAAATCATTTGGTTTTGTGCTGTCAAGGCATTAGGGGTGAGTTAAATAGATAGCAGGCTAATTTTTTAAAAAATATATTTTATTGATTTTTGCAGAAAGGAAGGGAGAGAGATAGAAACATCGATCAGCTGCCTCCTGCACATCTCCTACTGGGGATGTGCCCGCAACCCAGGTACATGCCCTTGATCGGAATCGAACCTGGGACCTTTCAGTCTGCAGGCCGACGCTCTATCCACTGAGCCAAACCGGTTTTGGCAGCAGGCTAATTTTTAAGTTGATAATTTTGTATAGTCCATGAATGATGTTATAAATATTCAAATGGTCCTTGGCAGAAAAAAGGTTCCCCATCCTGCTTTATTTTATAGATGTTTTATAAGGTTTTGACTTCAAATAGTTAGTGGCAAAGTTATTTTAAATATTCTGATTTCCACACTCTACTGTTCACGAGGTGATAAAACTATTAGGGCCTAAGTTTCTTTTTCTTTAATATATATTTTTATTTTTTCAAAATATATTTTTATTGATTTCAGGGAGGGGAAGGGACAGGGAGAGGAAGAGAGAAATATCAATGATGAGAGAAAATTATTGATCTGCTGCCTCCTACATGCCCCACACTGGAGATCAGGCCCGCAACCCAGGCATGTGCCTTTGATCTGAATTGAACCTGGGACCCTTCAGTCCACAGGCTGATGCTTTATCCACTGGCTAGGGCAGGGTCCGAGTGCAGATGGAACTCAGGCAGCTCAGGAGAAGGAATTAGAACTAACTTATTTTCCCTAACTTGCAAGTTAGTGGCTACTTTATTTGTCCTTTGTAAGTTTAACCTTAAGACTTTATCGTTATAAGGAAAAAGTGGAGTTAGAAAGATGTTTGATCAAATTTTTAATTTTGTTTTTTGTTTTATTTTGAATGTAGAACAGTGACATGTACACATAACTTTTTTAACCACTGGCCTTTTTGTTTAAACTATGCTTTAATGGTAAAACAGTTATGCATTTTACTTGTCTCATTACGATTTGTTTTTAGGCAACAAGTTTACTTAATTGTCCAGTTAGCCATTTTAAACATAAAAACCTATGTTATTTGGTGGTGGTGTTATTTATCTAGTACAACTGTGCTGTGCTTTATGTGATGGTATTTGTATGTGTTTAAATTTGACCACTTTTCTTGTCTCTTTCTTTTAGTAACTATATCAGAGTGTGAGGTATAAGCCCACAGAATCCAGAGAAGTCATCATGAAGTTATATGTATTTCTGGTTAACACTGGAACTACCCTAACATTTGACACTGAACTTACAGTGCAAACGTGAGCTGTATTTCATTTGTTTGCATCAGCTTTGCATTTTGTACATGCAAAAACGTAACAGGAACAATTTGATTTGTGAAAACTATTGCTTTGTTAAATAAGAGTAGTGATATAGCAAGTCTTAAATGCAATATTTCATCCCAGCATATTGTTATCTTTCTCTGAAATGCTAAAGTTAAAATCATTAAGTTGTGCTTTATTCTATTTGTGTGACTATATTATTCACAAGAAACAACTCACCCACAAATATACTGATTTCAAACCAAAGTTATCAATTAGAAGTAAGTTTTCATAGCTGATTTCTATTCTAAGTTTCACAGTACACTGCTAGGGGATTATTGCTAGCTATATAAAGCAACATGTATCAATCCCATGTTTTTTAGTGCTTTTTAAAAAACTCCCTCATATGGTTAAAGACAGTGTTTGACTTTTAGCCGAATTAGTGGGAATCATGTGTCTAATACTCTAGCTATGCAGGGGTTTCAAATATTTGACTAATAAATGTCCTCTTATATGGGGAGAAGTCTCAGGGGAGGAAAGATGTATTTTGAGGCCAAACGGAGGGGAATAGAAATACCAAATCCAGGGGGGTGGGGAGCAAAAGTAGGTTTACAGTGAGTACAGTAAATGAGTTTATTCTTGTATTATTATTATTTGTTATTTTTCATATGAATAACTATAAACCTACTTTTGCCCCACCCTGTATTTCTAAATCTGCTTATATTTTTATAGTGGCCATAATAGCAAAGACCTGATAACAAAATAGAATTTTGACACTGAAAATATTATAATTTATGGAATTAATAATCTTAGTTTTAAAATGGAACTGTGAAATTATTAAATTTTTTTAGTTTTATAAAATGCGATTTTACCTGTAAAGGAATGATTTTTGAAAGATAGAAAAAGGATATACAGACAGTCCTCGGGTTACGTCAGACTTGACCTACGTTGTTTCATGGTTACATCGCTATCTCCCATTTATGTATAAAAAAAAAGTTCTGTCATTTCGATGTATGTACATATGTGCTTTATGTTTTTTATTATTTATTTACCACAAGTAAAGGTCAGGAATTGTTATCTTTCTTTTAAATTTTTTTTTACTGTTTCACTCATTACTGCTGTGTATGTGCTCCACGTGAGTGATGTAGGTGTTTATGTAGGTGGGTTCCGTCTTACGGTGAAATCGCGTTATGTGGCGCCGTAGGAATGGACCTCTGACATAACCCGAGGACCTACTGTAATTTTCATATGGTTTAGATTTAATATATGGTTGTGTAATGTGATGTGGAGCTTTTATCATACATCCTATGTTTTGAGGATTTTAACAGACCTGATGCTAATTTGAGCATATTCCTTTGCTACATTATATAAAGAGCACAAAAATAAATGTCTACTGTCTGTATTTTATAGAATCACTTTTAGAAGTGGCACATGGTTTGACTTACTTACCTAAGATAAATAATTATGAAATCCAATTCCAGAAATAAGCTTATATCAGATATTTTACATAGTATTACATTGATAGTAAGCATATTTGTCATGGGGCTAATGTAAATAACTAACTGTTTTTTTATCTTTTTATTAAAGTGTTACAGATCTTAAGCATGCTATTCATAGCAAATACAAGATCGCTATTCAGCACCAGGTGCTGGTGGTCAATGGAGGAGAGTGTATGGCTGCAGATAGAAGAGTGTGCACCTACAGTGCTGGGACGGTAGGTGTCCTAGCAGCCCTTCTACTCAAACATGCTTCAGCTTCCTCAGATAGGGCATGGGGAACTCAGCGTTCAGAATTAAGGCTTATCTGCTTCATGTATTGAGGGCAATGTGCATGTTTAGTATTCGTAATATTTTACTTCAGTGTTGTTTTTTTCTTTGCATTTTTACTTTCATAGGACACAAATCCAATTTTTCTTTTTAACAAAGAAATGATCTTATGTGAGCTTCCACCTGCTATTCCTAAAACTACCTTTTCAACAGAAAATGACATGGAAATAAAAGTTGAAGAGTCACTAATGATGCCTGCAGTTTTTCACACTGTTGCTTCAAGAACACAGCTTGCAGTGGTAAGATATAAGTATATTTTGAGATGCAATAATACTTAGTTACATCTAATACAACTTAAAAAATTAACTGGTGCATTTAACAAAATGAAGTCTTACACACATACTTGGTAATATTTTCATGAATTATTATTAGTCATTTGTGAACATTCTAGCATTTATTACTTCTAAAGCATTCAGATCTAAATAGCAGGGTATGTGGCTCAGTTGGTTGGAGTGTCGTCTCATACACCAGAAGGTGGCAGGTTCGATTCCCAGTCAGGGCACATGCCTAGATTGTGGGTCAGTGTTTCTCCTATGTTTTCTCTTCTCATCTCTCTCTCTTCACTTTTCTATTCTCCCTCACACCCTCCCTAAAATCAATTTAGAAAAAAAGAATATTAACTTATGAATCCAACACCCTTACCTTTTAAATTTAATGCTATATGTTGATTTTTCCATATCAGTATCATATATAAAAATATATACATTTCGTTGTATTGGCACAAATTATTTATGATAGACATTGAGGTTCTTTGCATTTTATTTCATAGTATTGAAATTTAAAAAATCTTTGACTAGTCTTTATTTGATTAAGCTCTTTTTTAAAAAAATACTTTTATTGATTTCAGAGAGAAAAGGAGAGGGAGAGAGAGAGAGAAACATCAGAGAGAGAATCATTGATTGGCTGCCTTCTGCACGCCCCACACTGGGGATTGAGCTGGCCACCCGGGCATGTGCCCTGACCTAGAATCAAACCATGACCTCTGGTTCCTAGGTCAAGACTCAACCACTGAACCACACCACCTGGACCCATTTTACTTTTGATAGTTATTGCTGAGTTGCCCTCAGTAGATGCTTTACCAGTATATACTCCCAGCAGCAATGAGTTAGGTGTTTTTCTTCCTCCACTATTATAATAAGCAGGCACAAGATAAACTAAAGCATTCCCTTAACAATGCTTTCTTTAAAATGTGTTCAAAATGCATTCATGCACACATGTAAGTACATATATAGATACGTGCACAGACAAATTACCTTTTTTTTACTGTTTTTTCTTTTTCAATGTAGGAAATGTATGAAGTTGCCAAGAAACTTAGCTCCTTCTGTGAAAGTCTGGTCCATGATGAACACCTTCAACACCAGGGCTGGGCTGCAATCATGGCCAATCTGGAGGACTGTTCAAATTCATACCAAAAGCTACTTTTCAAGTTTGAAAATATTTATTCAAATTATCTGCAATCCATAGAAGACATCAAGCTAAAACTTACTCAGTATGTGTGCCATTAAAATGGATAATAAGATGTTTAAAATATCTTTGCAAAGTATCAGTAGTTTTAGTAATTAATATTTAAAGTAGGACATAATCGAAATTCATTTTTTGAGACTTTATGATACGTTTTAATTTTTAAAAGAAACTTATTTTTATTGATTTCAGAGAGGAAGGGAGAGGGAGAGATAGAAACATCAGTGATGAGAATAATTGATTGGCTGCCTCCTGTATGCTCCCTACTGGGGGTCAAGCCTGCAACCGGGCATATGGCCTGACCAGGAATCAAACCATGACTTCCTGGTTCATAGGTGGAGCTCAAGCACTAAGCCACACCGGCTGACCTATGATGCCTTTTATAGACTCCAAAATAATGGCCTGTTTTCCTCACCACATATTTACAGATCTTCCACATTTCTTTTTTTTAATTTTTAATATATTTTATTGATTTTTTACAGAGAGGAAGGTAGAGAGAGAGTTAGAAACATCGATGAGAGAGAAACATCGATCAGCCGCCTCCTGCACATCTCCTACTGGGGATGTGCCCGCAACCCAGGTACATGCCCTTGACCGGAATCGAACCTGGGACCCTTGAGTCCGCAGGCTGACGCTCTATCCACTGAGCCAAACCGGTTTCGGCCCACATTTCTTTTTTTTGTGTTGTTTTCTTTATGTAAAAGACTTAAAATACTTTTGACCCAAAGAATCTTAGCATCCTCTCATCTTGCTACCAATTTTCCAATAAAGGTAACATAAAAAAAATAATATATCTAATAGAAATGGAAAAAAATTTCAAAACATTAACCAATCAAGGAAAATGTAATTTCCTTTTAAAATGTGGCCATATGAAGCTGCATAGGAAAGCTCAACATTTTAAACAAGGTAGTACTGGAAGTTTTATGACAAGACTTTTACCTAGCACTTAAATATGTATAAATGTACATAAGACAAACCTAGTAGTCATGACCTGGGGAAATGGTCACACCTTATATTGTGTTTTTGGCCTTGAAAGTAGCAAGTGACCAGAATAGGCGTTGGCAACAGGCTTTACAATTTAAGACCCTTAAAAAGACACTGTCTCAACTGTGGTGGTAGCACCAGCCAGCTCTGTACATTTGCTAGCTTGTAGTTTTCTAAGACTGAGTAAACTTCTTATTTTTATAAAGTGGAGGTCTGGTTTGTAACTTTCCTTGTACTTAATTGGGTAAAAGTCTTTTCCACAAACCACCATCTATTTTGTGAACTTTGTTAGTCATCTTTTATTTGGTAAATTATGAACTGGTGTAAATTTGTACAGTTCATGTGTATTGATTGTGGCAAAGTTGTACAGATTTCTATATTTTGGATGAGAAATTTTTCTTCTCTCTATAATAAATTGTTTCTTATCTTGGCATTGAAAAAAAAAAATGTGGCCATATGATTTAGGCTTGGTAAGATAGAAAAAAGCCAATGTGTTCTAGCTCTTGTTTAGATGGTTTTCTGGTTCTTCGTATATAAGCACACCTGATACCCTTTGCTTCTTTTTAAAAAGGGATATAATGAATATGAAAATACAGAAAATGTATTTTCTAAATAGCAAGGTGTGTGTGTGTGTGTGTGTGTGTATATATGTATATATGCTTTCAGTTTTTTGTTTGGTATTTTATTGCCTTGAATTGGGATTTTAAAAAATTCATTCATTCATTCATTTAAGTAACCTTTAATAAAATCAAGTTTCTGTTTTGTGGGCTGAATCTTTAGAAGATTTTGGCCTCAAGTTGACGATGGGACAAATCTTGGGAAGGAAGGAAATCATTAATTAAGACTCGAAATATCTTTTAAAAGTTTATATAAAAACCTTTTTAAGTAACTATTTTTTAGAGAGTCACTTAGATATGTCAATTTAATGTAGGACCGTGAATCATTTTACATGTTTTTACAGAAGACACATCATCAAGATTTTATCTTTTACCCATGGCTTTTGACAACATATGTCTACTTTATTTTCAGGGTCTGATGAATGTAAGAGTTACCTTAATCTTTATTAAGATTGTTAATTTTATCCTGTGCTTTCAGTATGTCAAAAATCCTTGATTGACTTAAAGATAAAAATATTTTTTAAGGGACTGCTATGGTAAATCTTTTTTTTTAAAAATATATTTTATTGATTTTTTACAGAGAGGAAGGGAGAGGGATAGAGAGTTAGAAATATCGATGAGAGAGAAACATCAATCAGCTGCCTCCTGCACACTCCCCACTGGGGACGTGCCTGCAACCAAGGTACATGCCTTTGACCGGAATCGAACCTGGGACCCTTGAGTCCATAGCTCTATCCACTGAGCCAAACCGGTCAGGACAAGTAAATCTTTTTTGTAAGTTTGAATTTCTTATATTTTAAGGTTTGATAAAAATCAGGTGTTCACTTATTTAGTGTGAACTGACAAACTTTACTTTAGAATAGAATTTAAATGTGTTGATACCTTTCTATCTAACTAGGTTTCATTTAAACACCTCCTAGATTGCTTTACATATGTATAGCATAATAGAGAGATGGTAAGATTTGTGTAATAATAAAATGCTAATCTTTCAAAATGTTGATCTGTAATTAGAGTAGTCCTGTTATTTTCCTAACAAAACTTTTATATTTTAAGTTTAGGAACTGCGGTTTCAGTAATGGCCAAGATTCCGCTGTTGGAGTGCCTAACCAGACATAGTTACAGGGAATGTTTGGGAAGAATGGATTCTTTACCTGAACATGAAGGCTCAGAAAAGGCTGAGATGAAAACTTCCACTGAACTGGTGCTCTCTCCCGATACGCCTAGGACAACTAACAAATCCTTGTTAACCTCATTTCACAAGTCAGTGGAACATGTAGCCCCAGATACCACAGATGTTGAAAGTGGAAAAGAAATTGGGGAATCTTGTCAAAGTACTGCTCAGCAGGATGAAACTTCAGTAGATGCTAAAGACAGAGATCTGCCTTTTTTTAATGTTTCTTTGTTAGACTGGATAAATGTTCAAGATAGACCTAATGATGTGGAATCATTAGTTAGGAAGTGCTTTGATTCAATGAGCAGGGTAAGTAATGTTAATTTGATACTTTTTGTTATTGAAATTATATTATTTATACTAATTACTTTATGAAATGGGAGAATGGGTATTGTGTTAAAATAGAAATAATGAGTTTTAGAGTAAAAGACAATTTTGTTTTTTATAGGTTTTATTTATACTGATGATTTACATTCAATGAAATACACACATTCTTGAGTAGTTAATTCTATGTATTGTTTTAATTTTGCCTAAGTTGAAAATTTGAATCTATTTTAGTCATCTCTTTTTAGCCCTTTATCACTCTAATGATTTACAGCTAGTCTTTGGTTTGTACAATACTTTGGATTGGAAATGTGTGCACATTGGACTCAGTTACCACAAATTTGAGAAAAGTGAGAAGATGTTCACATATGCACAAGTTTCAGTGCAAAGGAAGTGCTGCCTATATTTAAATAATGTCTGTTTCCTTTTTTGTGGTGTCACAAATGGTAGCCTCTTATTAATTACACTGGAGGCCCGGTGCACGGAATTCGTGCACTAGTCGAGGGCATGGCCGGCTGTGGGAGCGCCACTGGGCTGACCCGGATATGGGAGCACACTGACCACCAGGGGACAGCTTCTGCACTGAGCGTCTGCCACCTTGGATGTCAGT